CAGTGGAAAAGAATAGCCCATTTGAAAGAAAAGTTGGACAGATGTCTAGATCTTTCAGGAAGGGCCACTGTAGAGCAGCCCAACAGCTGGTAATAGCCAACTTCAGTGAGTAGGCAGTGAGCTTGCAGGTTGAGATAGAATTTCACTTTTGTGGTTTTAGTTTTATACAGTGGGTTCTTCATTCACTATCATTTACTCATTCATTCAGCAGGCGCTCAGTGAAGTGGCTCTGTGTCAGGCAGCCCTACCTACCTCCGTGGGGCCCCATCAATGATGATGATGATGTGGTATGTCCCTCATGTGGGGTACTTCTGGAGCATTTCTCTTATTTCTGGAGTGAGTTGCTCTCTGGCTGGTCCTGCCAGGAGGAATCCTTCATCCCACATATGAAATATTAAATATCTTTCCCCCCAATTAATATCAGTGTTAGTCTTGCTCCTCTCTGTCCTGCCTACCATTCTATGCCACAAAAGTTTTTTTAGAAGTAGTCACAGCTAGAAAAGATGGACCTCTCAGGACCAAATAGGAGATTTGTTTTATTTCTTCCTTATACTTGGCAAAGACTTTTATTTTTGAACTAATAAGGCAGAAGACATCCATAGGAAAAGAAAAATAAGATTTTTCCTTGCCAGAGTTGCTTAGTTACCTTGTCAACATTCCCTTCCAGCTTGGCTGAATTCTCTCTGCATATTTTTATAGTGCATATCATGTTTTATTGCTATAATTGATCTATTAAGCAGAAAATATGGAGAACACATGGAGCTCCTGTCAATTTTATGCTGTTTATTTGGATTTCCATTTTTCTCTTTCCACAAGACCTCATTCCTTTTTTCATTCCTAACCTACATAATACTGTAAAGGAATCACATCATCATTTATATTAGTGCATTCAACTTTGTACCTTAAAAAGCAAAGCTAATAAACTAACCGCATACCTAGACATAAAACTGGGGTTTTCAAAGTCAGGGTCCAGGTCTTCACTAGCTCTGTATCCTATGCTCCTTAGCCTGGTGTCTGGCACTTAAAAGGCCTTTAATAAATGTTTATTGGTTAAAAGAGCTATTGGCTTCAAATATTTATTGAGAATCAGCGTTGTGGTGGGTACTATTCATAACAGAACTTGCTTTTAGTTTCTATGCAAAGGACAAAGCTTATGACTTGTTTTCTTCTTGGAGATGACAAGGATGGAGAATACAACTGTGTTGTTGCTAGCACTACATTTAATCTAGCCAAAGAAGCTTTTCTGCGTGTGGCTGCAGTGGAAGTATCAGCAGCCACATTCCATCTGTTATTTATGGAAGGTATCCACTGGGAATCTCCTAGCTTCTGGGTGCTGTGCTGTCCAAATCAATTGAGATCAAAAGACCCATTCATTGTCACCATCTGTCAAGGCCATTGTATTCAAAACAGTGAATCCCTCCTCATTCTCTTTCTCAAACACACATATGCACACATAGCTAAAGACTATGTTTATGATGCCAGCTGTTGACAAAACAACAAATAGGAGCTTATTTAATCATCCCTTTACCTAGCCCATCAAAGAGCCATCCAATCAAGTGTTCCTCAAAGCATATACTTCTCCTGAGATTTTATTAGATTGCAGACCTAGATCTGCTAAGTCTGGGAGGAGTCCAGAGAGTCTGTATTTCTATTAAGACCTTTTGTTAGATCAGGTCTTTTTTTTAAAATTTATTTATTTATTTATCTTTAGAGGGGAAGGGAAGGAGAGAGGGAGAGAAACATTAATGTATGGTTGCCTTTCGTGCATCCCCTGCTGGGAACTGGTCTGCAACCCAAGATCAGGTCTTGATAGTTAAAGCATCACCCATGGACCAGTAGATTTGACACCAGCTAGGAGCTTGTGAGGAATGCAGACTCTTCAGTGCCCTCTCAGACCTACTGGATCAGAACCTGGGTTTTAACAAGATCCCACAGTAAATTTGAGGAGTATTGCTCTAACCATTTAATATGTCTACAATGTAAATGAGCCGATGAGGCTCTGGGTTGGATAATAAGACCAGCTAGATTTTCCAGGTCCCCTTTCTATTTTAAAACTCTTGTGTAGCCACCTCAGTATAGCATCTGCCACTCAGACAAAGACACAGACATATGCCTCTTTGTTTAGTCATTCAGTGGCATGATGAATTTGTTATTATTCATCCTGCATTTCCATTGGCCCACCAACCAACCTTATCCCCTCTCCAGGGAACTTCATTCTAGACAAAAGTTTGACCAAAAGAGACATCCTCACGTCTGAGCGTGTCAGAAAGATAACACATTTGGAACAAGCATTAGGAAATCAAAGTTTCCTCATCTGAGAAATGGAGATAAACAGTGAGTACCAGCCTGGGCAGGTCTTCAGAACCAGGAGGACTTGTTATGGTTGCCCTGTCTCATTCACATGCTCTCATCAGAGGTGCCAGAGGGCTTGGCAGTGGTATAGAGGAAGGTTCCACATCTGTGCCCATGCAAGCAGACACTCCGGGACATGTTTAGTGATATTGAGAGTTATGTAAGGAGAGGAGAGTGCTCTGAAAACCCTGAAATTGATGGTACGCTAATTATCAGAATAACAGACCAAGTCTTACTCACTGCAGACATGAGGGTGTGGCTGTTGGGTTGTTGCTGCTTTGTTGTCAGTATTTAAGCATTTGTGATACAGAAGGACTATTGCCCCTTTTAAATGAGGGGAAAAAAATCAAACAAATGAAAAGAAGGCTCACCATCCTTTCTCTAGCTTTCCAAACTCTAACTCATATTTTTATTTTGAAAATGCCCCTTTAAAGCCCTAAGTTTTCTTAAACCTCTTTTCACATAGGGTGAACCTTTGGGAAAGTGTAGTTATGAAAAAGAGATTACCTTTTGTTTTTATAGAATTTCAGAGTTTGTGGGGGGATATCCTTCCTGGCGAAACCCCAAACTACTCCAAAGTGGGATCTCGCTGTCCCAGGCAGAGAATGTCACATGACCTGCCTTTCCACATGGGTTTTTGAGGGGTGTGTTTATGCTCCATGCCATGTGAGAAGGGGGAAAACACCTCATCATATGGAATTTCAGTCAAAACCTAATAGGAAGAGGGTGGCAATAAGAAGGAGGAAGTGAACACAGAGACTGTAGGGAGTGGCCAGGGGAGGCATTTAGCTGAATGGTCAGCATTTCGGAGCAAAGAGCAGAGCATGTGAGAGGGAATCTGAATGTCTCAGCTGTTGTTTTGTTTTGTTTTTATTTTCTTTTGTGAGGTTGTTTTGTTTTGCCTGAATAACTAAGGTTGAATATATCACCAACACATGTTTGACCATAGAATGACAGAGGCCCTTCTAGGTAGGAAAAGAGCACTTCTGTCCACTTTAACTTGTTTAACTCCAAGTCCAGATTCCATGATGGGACCTCTGAATCTTGCCACAGCCTTTGGCCCATTTTCCTAGGACTTGACCCATGAGTGGATCAGTTTATCTCCTCTCTGTTTCTATGCCATGGGACACAGTCTTTACCTCCATCCAGTCTATACTTGTGATCTTTGGGGGGATGGGGATGGAAGCTCTGGGTAAAGGAGCTTCATGAACCATCAGGAAAGACAGTTTGAAGGGCATCACTTTTTAGATTATAAGGCCATGTGGAAAGAGCATTTGCTAGGAGTCAAGAAACTGTATTTTGGTCCTAACCATGACCCCTACTAGCTATAGAACCTTTTTAGTCAAATAATTTTATCTCTTGGAGACCCACAGGTAATTATACTACTGCAAATCTACTATATTTACTATAAATCTTCTATAAAACTCGCTAGAATTTTGCAGGTGTCAAATGAGGTAATGGAGAAGAAAGCATTAAAGATTTCGAGGCTGTACTGTCCAATATGGTAGCCACAAGTGATACATAGTTATTTGAATTTAATTAAAATGAGATAAAAGCAAAAAGTCAGTTCCTCAGTCACATTAGTCACATTTCAAGTGCTTAATGGCCATATGTGACTTGTGCATACCATACAGATAGCAAAGATATAGAACATTTGCATGGTCACAGAATGTTTTATCAGATACCTCTGCCTTGAAGTACTATCTGAGTATGTACTAAGGACATAAAGGATGGCAGATTTTAGAGGTAATAAATTCTGTCATAGTTAAGGATTCTTGGAAGGAAACAAGACCCACTCAAGTTAGCTAAAGTAAAACAAGGGATTTACAATATTTGATTAATTCAGGAAAAACTTATGAATCCCAAAGGCTGGAATCAGAGCTAGGCTTTAAATGGAATTGAAACCAGTTCATAGAAGATTATCAGAAACTAAAGAAGTCACTCTCTCCTTCTCACTGTCGCCTTTTCCTCTCTGTGGCCACCTATGTTCTTGTCTTTTTTTCTTTGCATATTGGTGACTTCTCCCATCTTCCTCCTTTTTGCTCCTCCTCCTTCCCTTATCCCTCCCCACTTTACAGATCAACTTTCCCAACTTCATTATGCACGGTCCAAGTAGGGCTCAACTGTACCCAGTCTCATCACTTCTCAGGAGTAATGTGTAACAAAGGCTGGATCCTGATTCCAAATTCCCAGGAGAAACATTCTGATTAGCCAGCATGGTGCGGTAGCCACTAATCAGGTGTGTTCAAGAGGAGTAGTGGCCCCCATGCTAACTGAATAGGGACAGAAGGGATGGAATGGGGTAGATGCTCTCAGAAGGAGCCTGTGTGGGATGGAGATGTGTTATTGACTACCATACCCATCCTGAATACCTTGGAGAGGTCCAGTGAGCCTGTGATCACACAGGGAAGAATAACCAGAGATATTATCAAGTTCATGAAGAAAGGGAGTGTGATGCCTTTACTTATTTTGTTATTTTCATGGTTTGAATCATCAGTACAGATTTCCAGGGGATTGGCTTAACCTGCTCATCCACATACCTGCGTGGAAGTGGGCACAGCAGAATGCAAGCTGGAAATCTAATTTCCTTTGCCATTTCCTAAATGTAATTTGGGCACTTATAAGAACTTTTTCTCTCTTGCTACTAGGAAGGAACATGAGTTTCCCCTGGAAATTGCTCAAGAAGAGGATGGAAGGGGCCATTTAAAATAGATTAGAAGCTGCAGGCTGCAACACTGGGGCCAGAGGGCTGGCTGTGGAAAACTCTGTTGGGTTGTTATCTCTCACGGAAGAGTTCCAGGTGCCTTTTTGCTTCCTGCAAAGCAAAGGAAGAAAAGGAGAAGACCATGTCTATAGCGTTGAAGCAGGTGTTCAACAAGGACAAGACTTTCCGGCCCAAGAGGAAATTTGAACCTGGCACACAGAGGTTTGAGCTCCACAAGAGGGCTCAGGCATCCCTCAACTCGGGTGTGGACCTGAAGGCAGCTGTGCAGCTGCCCAGCGGGGAGGACCAGAATGACTGGGTAGCTGTGCATGTGGTGGACTTCTTCAATCGGATCAACCTTATCTATGGCACCATCTGCGAGTTCTGCACTGAGCAAACCTGCCCTGTGATGTCGGGGGGCCCCAAATATGAATATCGGTGGCAGGATGACCTCAAGTATAAGAAGCCAACTGCACTGCCAGCTCCCCAGTACATGAACCTTCTCATGGATTGGATCGAGGTCCAGATAAACAATGAAGACATATTTCCAACATGTGTGGGTAAGTCAATCAACAGCTTCTTTGTTATTTTGCCAAATCCCACCCAAGGTCAGAGAGTTTGCAGGGGCTTTTTCCAGGACTGCCTTTGAATGTAGATGCCACACATTCTCAATGTTTCCCCAAATTCCATTTCCACATACCTTCAGTTTATTTTTCCATGTCTAGGAACCTGATTGAAATTTTGAAAAATATCATTTGTGGACCACTTACAATAATTTCATGTACTTCGGTCATGAAATTACACATGTCACATGTGAGGGAGCATAGACTTGGTAGAATGTTAGATTTGATCTTGCTGGCTTGCTTAGGAATAGATTCCAAATCCATGCAGTGATTCTGGTAAGGCTCTTATTATTTGACTAATTAACTAGTTAGTTACATTATCTCTGGTGGAATTATTGGTATTCATCTCTCAGGTAAACAAATCTTAGTGTGAGAATCTATGGACTGGAGATCAATTGAGCAAGGGATAGGCACTCTGGAAAAGTAAAGATCCTGCCATTCTGTTCTTCCTTCCCCCAATCATGACGCGGTGTTAATGCTGGGCCCTTGTGTATGCTCTAGCAGGACCCACCAGGAGGCTCAAAATGTGAATGCTTTTGTTTCCCTTGTGCTGGGAAACACAAAATTCTTCAAGGGAAAGGCTAAACCTTTTCCATCCCTTTTATTTCTTTGTAGTGGTGATGATTGGATTTTCCATGCACTAATGGGCTGAATTTAAAATTTCACTTTTTAGGCCCTAGGTTCAATGACAAAGAGCACTCTCCCTGCTTCCCTGGTTATGTGTCTTCCATATCTCCAGTGTCTTGCTAGCACAGTGCCCTGAAATCCTGGTAGGCACTCAGTAAATATTTGTGGAATGACTGAAAAAAATACTCGTGCTGTTAGAAAGTATTATTAAAAAGTTCTGAGATGGTTGGGGTATGAAAGAAGTATTTGAAACACATTGTTGAAATCACCTCTAGTTGGATTGTGTGTCCCCATGTGGCATATGGAAAGATGAGGTAGGGTGTATGGAAGTAATTAAGTTAATACCAGGGGAAAAAGTGTATAAATTGATTAGGGCAGTGTCTACATCTTGAAATATTCAGCACACAAACCAATTTGCTTAGAATCATGGTGTTGCCTTGACTTGTCCAGTTCCCTCATGCTCTTGCTCTCTGCTATCCCTTGTTAAGGGAGAAGATGGGGTAGTATAGACCCTGACTCACCTGAGGAGGGGGAAGAAGGCAGGTTTCTACCCTCTCACCCCAGACATAAAATAGACATCTTCAAGGGGCAGGAATCTCTTAGGTACTTGTCTTTTTGCACTTTCTTTGACTGTCGGAGGCTTCTTTTGTTGCCAGGAGGAATTTTTCTTTTCCAAAAGCATTATAAGCCACTGCTAATGCTCCGTGCAGAACACATGATAGCAATAAAGATAAATAAATGTGGGCAAGGAGACCTTCTCTTTGTCCTTCCCCTTCTCTTCCTGCTCCTTGATGCTTTGAACTCCGGCACTTCTGCTCTCTCTGGCAGCTGTGGTTACCATGGAGAGTTTGTGACTGGAAATATCACCACACGCCATGGTGTGTCACTTGAGAGTGAGGAAGCTTCTGGAGGTGATTTTAGATTTTGCTTGAAGGAAATAGGTGGATGCCACCACGTCCCCCAGAGTAACCTGGCTTTGCTATCTTTTTCTAGACATTTCTTTAGCCATTCAGTGGGATTAGAGACCATACTCACCTGATCAGAATCCTTCCCAATTTATGCTCCAATAATACACTTGTGTTCTGAGAGATCTTACTAGGTGTACCGTGATTTTTTTCCCCCATGGAAAAATAAGTTTGGAAATGCCAAGTGAAACTGATTTCTTTAACTGCAGGACTTCTAATATGCTAATATGCACTAGAAGTCTCTAAGAAAGGAATAACACTTTAGTATATGGTATTTCCTAATTTGAACCTGCTGGCTTTTTTCCTTTTTATTAAGTGCAACACCCTTAGCATCTTCAGGAAAATATGAATCTATATAATTTAGAGTTGTCAAATTTTTGTTTCCAGCAGAGTCTTTTAAAAATGTAAATTCCTCAGTTCTTTCTGTTAGCAACTAACTTAGAATCTCTTAGGTAAGAACTAAGAATTCACACCTTTAATAAGAATCCCCCACTCTCTCTAGTGTTTATTGTAACGCCCTGGAATGCTTTGCATTCCCCATAAACAGTCTGTTTCTTGCCTCTAGAGTTTTATTCAGGTTGTTTTCTCCTGGAATCATTGTTTTTTCTATCTTGTGAATTCTCATGCATCCTTTACACCATGTCTTCTTTTGCTTATTGGGTGGAGGCCCCTAAAGTTATGGAATATGTCTTATTTGTTATTCATTTGACTATCCCACCACTCAGTCTAGTTTTGGTGCTTTATAAGTTATTTAATGAGTGGGTGGATATATGAATGAGTGGAGGAAGGGTGGAAAAATAATCTTTATAAAGTCCCAATATGTCTAGGGTGCTGGTGATCTGAGTGAAATTAAACAAATGTCTCTATCTCTTTATTACCATCCTGGGTATATTGTGTGTCTTGCCTCAACATAATTTAGTTTTCTCTGTCAACTTTTCCAAGATAAAATGTTAGGGGTCAGTAAAAACCATCACCATTCACTGCTACACTGAGGATCTTCATCAGCATCCTGCTAAACTCTATTATCTGCCCTCGGACCATATTTTCACTATCTTTTGAAATAACTTATCTTCAGGAGCCACTTTCTTTTTTTGGGGGGGGGGGAAGTACCAGATTTTTTTAAAAATTTTATTTAGTTATTTTTCAAGTACAGTTTTTTGTCTATTTTTCCCATCCCAGCCTCCCCCGCCCCTTGCTCCCAGGAGCCACTTTCTTTGTTAGAATTCACTTCCCCCTCTTCTTCTCACCCCTTATTCCAGCCTACTTTCTTCTTTTTGATCTTCGTGCTGCCTTGAGTCATCATTATCATGAGAATGATCAAGACATCTGTCAGGGTAAAGTAAAAGAAGAATTCTTAGCAAACAGCAGACCCTGGGTGGATGAGAAATGGAGACTTCTGCTTAGCATTACCACTTTGAATCCTAGGCATATTTCTGTGTTCTTGCTTGGGAATTGGGAGGGGTTCAAACTTCACCTCCTCCCCTACTGTGATCCATGGAAATAAAACCAGAAAATACTGACAGATGTGAAAGCTTCACCCTTAGTTAGGTATTAAAGGATATAAACAGCTGTTGATCAGTACCATTGAAACATGGAGGAAAGAAAAGCTTTCATCTGTTCCTAGATTCCAGTTTAACTAGGATACTCGTGCTGTTTCAGAAGTTGAGCTTTCTCAGTTGGGAGAATACCAAACAGATGTGGCTCCCTTGTGAACCATAGTCTCCTGCACTTTCCCTTGATCTCCTCCAGCTTCCTTTGTTAAAAAGCCAACAGATGTCTCTGTTAAAGCTCCTAAGACAACAGTAACTTCAGAAGCAAGGGCCATCTTCTCTTCTATTGTATCTCTATCCACTTGCAGAGATAAGACCAGAAAACTAGGAAGCCTAGAAAGCCACAGCCTTTTTCTTCTATTGTCTAATTATAATAATTTCTATGTTCTAGCCCCTCAGCTTCCCAGGTTTTCTATTGTATATTAGGATTTAATATCTTAGAGCTGACACAAAAAAAAATGAGTAGAAAACTTAGAGCTCCTCCAACTCATGTTTTAAAGAAGTCTTTAAATAGGAGGAATAAGAACATTTAAAAAATAGTTACATGATCTCACCTACCTTTATGGTTTTAGAATAAATGGGTATCAGGAAAGGGAAGATCAGGAAAGATCAAGGAAAGGAAAGGAGGGAAATGAGGGAGGGAACTCAGATTTACTGAGACTGCTAAGTGCCAGTGGCTATTAATCTTCATATTTTTTTACAATAACTCAATGAATTAAATATCTCATTTTACCAGTGAGGAAGCTGACATTTAAACCAGTTAAGGGGCTTTCTGGTTAAACAGCTAATAGGTCATTTAGAAGTCAGCAATTTTATCTCAAGAGCGTCTGGTCAAAAATCTATGCCTGTGTCACCCACTACCATTCACATGTATCATTATCTTGTAAATTTTCTTTCATATAACTAAAGACTTCAGTGGTTTAGGAGGTTGTCTAGGGTGGAGAAAAATTTGGAAAACCTGATTTTTTCTATAATTTTTAAAGAAATTATTTTTTTATTGCTCCCTTTTAAGGAACTACTTCTATAATGCTTGAGGAGTTTACTGGCACTATTACTGTTCTCATGTTGCATTCTAAGATTGGTCAAAGGATGACTTAGCCTCAAGAAAAATGCTTTGTGAGCTTACAACTACCTGTTACTGACATTCATTCATTCATTCATTCATTCAATGAGTACTTGTCCAGCACCTGCTTGGAAGCAGGCCCTCTTTTAGGCAATGAGAAAACAAAGCACACAGAGTTCATGTCCTTGAGCAGTTTCCCTAATGTCCAGAATGTCTAGTTGCTCCAAATTATACATTTTTCTAAAGTGAGTAGTTTATTCAGTGGTCAAGTGCATTGTGGAAAGAGTTGCATCTCTTTGGCAACCTTTCTCATGACACTGCAGCTGAGTTTCCTCCTCTCTCAAAATACTGTAGCAGGAAACATGAGACTGAAAATGTCCATAGGGATGAGCTGTTCAGTCATGGGATATCAGAGAACTGAGTTTATAATTAACCTTTACATTTTAACCTTTTATTTTTCTATTGTATGTTTCCCTCACTTTTTCATTTTGATATAAATTTACACAACACTGATAAGACACAATGTACATCAACAAACTATATTTACAGTGTGGTGGAACCAGCGCTGGGCAGCCTACAGAGACTTGGATGTGGTCAGCTCGCCCTGCCACTGCCGTTACAGATGCTGTGTGACGTTGGCAAACACATAACCCCTGAGCCAGCATTTCTCTCTTAGTAAACGAAAGGTTATAATTCTGATCTCAAAAGGATGTTGTAAAGATTAAATGAGGC